GTTTTTAATATCATAGTGAGGTACCTGACAACCATATCCCTTATTAAATATTGTCTTATTTAATAATGTTGTAATACAGAAAAGACTTATTTCCTGGAAATGCAGATATAAATTTTTATTATTTTTATATCCTAACTAGTTTTGAATATCAATAATATTCTCATTCACAAAAAATGGAAAATAAACGTCTAATATCAAGGCCAGTAAGAATGTAAATACAACTAAACATAACTAAAGGACAGAAAATAAATAGAATGATACCTGCCACTTTGGGGGCCAATAATTGAAGAGTTGTGGAGATTTCATGTACAAAATAAAAACGATTTACTAATTTTTTTCTCAAAACATTATTCTAGCCAAGAAACTTTCAAAACTAATTATCAATTTAGTCCAATTAGTTCCAAACTGCCAAATCATTAATGCAAAATCAGAACAACTTGATTCATCTATATAGTCTCAGTTCTACTTCTCAATCAAGACAAGTAACCATGAGGATGAGAAATTACAGTAATTTGAGTGCTTGGACTGTCAAAAAAAAAAAAGTACCAAGCGTTAGCTTTTGACATCCCTATTACGACACTAGAAAGACTACTTTGTGACATATATGCAACATTCAGATTTTCTAGCTGACAGCTAATTTTGTCTACATGGGTCAAGTAGTTTCATGAAGTCCTAATTCAGGTTCTGTGAGTATCACCAATTTGGGAATTAAAACTAATAAAATCAAATAATACCAAAATAATTTAACTGCATTATATATGAAGTTTTACAGAAATATACACTGAAACCCCTTTATGACTTTAGCAATGGAGTACAAGTAAAATATATTTGTAACAGCATCTGTTATTTCAAACTTATAATATATTATACTTACAAAAACAATGACTTATGGCATATCAGACTCTATGCAATAAGCAGTTTAGTTTTTAAGGATTAAAAAATACACAGAAATGAAACCCAAGACGTCATTACAACCATATAAAATTTCTTACCACCAGAAAGATTACAAACGCAAAATAAATAATATGTACTATTTCTAAAGCTATCTGTCATCCCGACCATCAGTCCACTGAACTACAATCTCTGCCCGTTACGGACCTAACATAATTAGACAAGAGTTTACATTAATAAACATGTCAAAATAGACATAATACCAAAACAACAGAGCAAATTTGCATTTCTTAAGTACTAACCTAATTGCTTGGGATTAAAATGATGCAACTTCTAATTCTCATGGTGAATATATGAGATAAAATTCTATTATCACTATTCACCATTTAGTAAGCATACCCTCTTATTCCTATCTAACAGAAAACCACTTTTCAGAAGATGGAAATTACATATAAAACACCAGGTGTTTTAGAGATGTTTCTACACTATTTTTTAAAAAAAAAAGAAACCAAATTATGTATAATGAATTTACTTATCTACCTGCTTAGTACTGCATAACGAATGCTCTGTGCATGCACGTTAGCGCAAAAGAGAAAATTCTTCAACAGACTCTGAATCTCCCAAACATGGTGCGTGTGACTAACAGCTGAGAGGAAATGCAACCGAAACTGTCTGGTGCAAATCCATTAAAATCTAGGCACAGAAAAAACGCCTGGGTGACAGTATACTTGGATGTGCAAATTTATGTAGGAATGTAGCCAAATTTTTGACAATTCCTTCACAGTCTTAGATTTATTGATAATGGCCTTTTCTTTTTCAGTGGTAATGTTACACTTAAAGAACATCATTTGAGTTGGAGGACCTGCCTATTCTTTAAAATAAATAAGCTTAAGGTTTGGATTTACAAATGCATGGCATTTCAAATAATGCAAGAAGCAAAATTTTGCACAAAAAATTACGTTTCACAGAAACTTCCATATGCAGCCAAAAACATCGGTACCTTAAAAAAAATAAGCATGCTATTTTGCATATCATTCTTTATTTCCCTTTTAATATACTCATTCTTTTTAAAAATCATCCCACAAAAAAAAATTTTTTTTGGATCATTTCATTCTGAGAGCATTTTTTGAAAGAATTCATATTTTTTAGCATTTGCTCTTAATACACTACTTTATGGATTTCTTTACTTGCAGAATTTGCATGTTCTTAGAGGTAAACTTGGGTCCTTAAGTCCTTTATAAAAGATTTAATAACCACATTTGATTGCAGTCACTCTGTACTGAGCCTCTCCTATGCCCTCAATGCTGTGGCATATAGGTTAAAAATGAAAGCGTGGTATTTTCCTTCAGGAGTTTATAATTTCATATGAGTACAGGTCAAATATATATATACACGAAGGTACAAATATCCTATAACCAATTCTAATTGGCGTGAGGATATAAAATAAAGCTGTTGAGTTTTTTGAAGGAGATGTACTATAATATTTTACAGGTGAACAGCAATAGTAGTTAAAATTGACATAGCACTTTGTAATTTAAGAAGGGCTTCTATAAATTCATGGAAACCATGGTGGCGTAGCGTTAAGACCTACGACCGCTAACCAAAAGGTCGGCAGTTCGAATACGCCAGGCACCCCTTGGAAACTCTCCGGGGCAGTTCTACTCTGCCCTATAGGGTCGCTATAAGTCAGAATCAACTTGACGGCAACAGTGTCTATAAATTCACTGACTCTTCGAAACACCCCATAAGACAAGTATTTCTCTTTCCCATTTTATTGATAAGAACCTGAGACCCAGAAAAGGTAAGTGACTGAACCAAGTTTACACATTAAATAGCAGGACCAAGATTCAAATCAGGTTCTCACAGCTAAACCAAAGCTGCCACTGGGTTTATAAATTCCAACTGCTTTCATATAGGTAACCTCATGTGACCCTAACAACAACCCTATCACATAATAACAGCAGCTAATATTCATTGAATGCATATTACGTGGCAGGCTCTGTTCTACACTATATCAGCTCATTCACTCCTGACAATACTCAATATGGAAGAGTCATATTATCACCCCATTTTACAGATGACGTTCTTCACGACCACATTCTTTGGCAGGTTAACACTGAGCAGCATGCCCAGTCACAAGGAAAGAAAATTGCAGAGGAAGAACAAGAAGCATGACTTCTAACTCTTCATCCTAGCTACTTTTCCTAAGTGTAGTTGGAATAATCAGAATCATTAAATCCAGAAGGGATTAGAAGTCTCTCAGTCTATGTGGTCCTGTGAAGCAGAATATGAGCAGGTCAGGAACACTGGCACAGTAGAGGGGAAAAGGAGTTCCATCAGCCTAGATAAGACTTATCTTCCACAGACTGGAAGCAGAACACAGTAAAAGGTATGTGAGCAGGGACAAGTGTATGTATATTCTGGTGTAGGGAGTATGAATTTGGGTGGATAAAGAGGGATGACTCTAATTATGGAAATTAGTAAAAGTGAAGCTCAAGACTGATTTGAGAGAAAATTAAAAGCCAGTGCAAGATCTGGGGAAGGTGTTTAATGCCCCCAAAAGAACTGATACTCCCCATTCTGGTCAAAAAGGAGCCCAGGTTGCACAGTGGTTAAAGCACTCGGCTGCCAACCGAAAGTTCAGTGGTTCAAAACCACCAGCCACTCGGTGGAGAAAGATGTGGCAGTCTGCTTCCGTAAAGTTTTACAACATTGGAAACTCTATAGGGCAGTTCTACTCTGTCCCATAGGGTTGCTATGAGTCGCTATGACCTATAAGGTCAGAATGGACTCAAAAGCAGTGGTTTGGTTTGGTTTGTATTCTTGTCAAAAGTACCAGCATGGAGGAAGAATATAAGCACTGAAACAATTTAATCACACATTTACATTTTTCTTCCCCCTTTTTAAAAAACTAAATGGCATTTACATTTTAGCAACTCCTCACTGTTAAAACACTCACGTGGAGTAGAGATGAAAAGGCGAACATTAATTGAGCACACAGTGCTTCTCAGTTCTCAAAACGTGATTCCACAGTGCTGGTTAGTTTACCATAAAGATCTTCCTCCGAATCATATTAAAATCAGATTAAATAAATTACAACATCCAACCGAATAAACTGACATGCCTAATTAAACCTACTGTACAAGTTAAAACTAGAATTTGCAACAAATACAGAAAAACTAATCACAGCAAAGACCAAAGGTAATGATACCAAGATACTAGTAAAAAGTACTTTTTAAAAACACGTAAAATAAGGAAAACTAACCCTAATGGAATTTGTTCTCTCATTACTTAAAATAAACCAGGTCACTGAGACAGGCTTACACTATGGCGATCTGTTCATTTTAATTTCATTTTCGTCAGCCATAAATTCCCATGAAAATACCGCAGACAAGTATTTTCAAGAGTTTGACAAAATAAAAAGATCACGCTGAGGTTCCTCCAAGTTTTTTTGCTTATGTCAACAGCTATTTTATGAGTAAGAATTATCTCTGTGGCTATAAACTGCATGTGTAAAATCTATTACATGACACTGTGAGAAGACTTAATGCAGAAGACCAAGCAAAGTCTGAGCTGCACACAAAAACACCAAAATCAAGTCGAACTTCCTAGAACATAGTATTCGTAAATTATTGTTAGTGTTAAATATGCCTTGGTGAATTAAGTTCAAGTGTAACTATAATTGAAAAAATATGATTCAACTGAGCTATGATGTATTTTTCCTCTCAAAAGCAAAAGGGAATTATGACAATTGTGAGACTTATATTTTTCCATTCCAGGGTCCTTCTGAAAGTTATTTCCCACTAGTACTGAAGGCAAAATGCACTTAGTGACATCTTTTAGCTTTAAAATATAGTTATTTATGCTACTCCTCATAGGACAGGTGGAATTTTAATAATAATTTATTAAATAATAACAATTACATTTGTTCCTTTATTTTTAAAGGGTAAAAACCAAGAGTCATTCAGGAAGGAAATAACCCCAATATGTAATACGATACCTAAGTCTACAATTCAATTATAACTCTATGACATATTTACATACAACAGAACCAACAATCAACATGACAAGTAGAAAATTAACATATATATGTGGTTAAAAATACCCACCCCTAGCAGAAAGCTTTTTGGTGTTGATAATTTTGGCAGCATATTCTTGTCCAGTAGGGATTTTCATACATCTTCTCACCACTGAGAATGCCCCCCTGAAAATCAATAATTAGCAAGTCATCAATATAGTCAGCTGATACTCTACAAAAGAAATTACAACAATCTGAGCATTTTTATTGATTTTAGTGGATTGCCAAATATCAGTGCACTACAGTAGTATCCAAAACATGAACAATTCTCCTGGAAACCCAGACGTTCTTTAATGTTGGGGGGGAAAAAGTAAATTTTACTTAACTGGGAGTTCACTTAATTAATCAACAAAATGAAAGGAACTGCCAATTATGACGGCTCTTGTTTGCGCATAAAATTTGAAAACATTTTACAATTCACACTCACACAGCACCAAATGCTCTGGGAAAACCCTACAAGGAACAGGGCTGAGGAGCAGCAGCAAAAATCTGTTGCCTATTTATTAGATACGGAAAAAAATAACGTGGCCCTAAGTAAGTATGGCAATTGTTTTCATTAAAATATAAAGCTTGAGCACATTTGTGTGGTTTAACAAATCCTGGTATGTGTGATTTCTCAACGTCCTGTTTTGGGGTGGGGGAGGGGAGAGATTTGAATTAAGCTGCTCTTCCGACATATTCTCCAGGTTTTAACAGCAGACAATAAATAAGGGTATAGTTTTCATTACATTTAAAAGGGATTTACATTGCCTTTAATTCAACTGTATAAATCAGCAACATACACATAAATGCACCCCCTTCATAACAGTCGAAACTAGCGATAGATGAATTGGGTTTGATGCTACATAAATCAACGGTTCATGGCTCGGCCCCTAGGTCCCTTTACAGAGGTCCTGAGTAGGTCTCCTGCCCCCTTAACACATCCAAGTAGTTCTGCCACTCGGGTGTAGGAGGTCGTTTTATTCAAAGCTAGGCTATCCTTGGGAAGCGCCCTCCCGGTCACCAGAGGGCTTTTCCGCTGCCCGTTTGAATAAATCCTCGCAGAGAACAGGAGGATGCACACGTAAATCCTGAGAAGGATGATGGTGTGCTAGTAATCTAATGCAAAGAATAATAGTAGATACCGGGCAGGGGGTTGGGTTCCGTTGGGTTGCCTTTTTCCTGGACAGAACTATTAGACGCAAAATAGACTCTACGCGAAGTTGAACTTTCGGCATCAATAAATATGGCACCGTCTGTGGCGGTGAGTTCCCATCGGTACGTGGGTCAGACTGCCGACACGCCTGCTAACCCAGAGGCATCTCTATTTACAGAAAACATGATCTATGTTGCATTTTACATGGATTCTTGTTTCGTCTCCACACACGCGCGCGCACACTCCTCAGGATGACAGCTACAACTGCAGAGATCGTAAATTCACCAAATTTCTCGGACAAACAGGGTAGGGAGCGGGGGAAGGTGGGCTAGGGATTAGGAGAATGGGTCACAGTCAGGTTGGGGGGCGGGTTTCCCCTTCTCTGTCTTCGCCCTTGCTAAGGCAGGCAGAGGGCACAAATCAGGGGCTCTCCTCCCTCTCCCCTAGTCCTCCAAACTCCCTCGCCCCACGGCGGAGGCCGATGGGTCGGGGGCAACGCGACCCGCCCTCTGCTGGAAAGGGTACGTGAGATGCCGGGCAAAGGCGCTTACTTTCCGAGCTCCTCGAAAAGCTGATACTCGTCCGTGAACCTGGTGCAGGTTGTGGTCGAAGCCATCCTCGGTCCGGGCTGTGCCCCTGGCTGGAAGCGTGGTGAACGAGACGCGAGCAGAAGCGCGGCTTTCCCGGGACTGGCCCTGCAGCGCTGTCACCTAGGGCCGCCCTCACTTTCCTGGTCCCAAAGTAGCTCGCCCAGGAGGGAGTGTGCGCAGGGGCGGGGCGGGAGAGGAGATGACCAGAAAGGGTGGCGTGGGGTCTCCTCCCCACTATCCGCCGATCCTACTCCTCCTCCGGCCTCGCTTCCTTCTTCTCTGGACTCTCTACCCCACCGCTTTCCAGCCCCTCTCCCCAAATGCAGAGGGCAAAGTACTCAAAAACAGGAGCCCGAAAATGGAAAAACAGCCGGACAAGAGGAGAGAGGAGAGCAGTTGCGAAATGTTCCGCACCAGGGATAGGAGGGGTAGAGGCGGAGGGGAGGGAGCCCGAGGGGGCGGGGGCGGAGTGCCGAGGGATCGAGGCCGCGGAGCCCAGAGTGGGCAGGGCAGCTCGAGCCCAGCTGCAGCTGTCAGCCGGCGCGGGCGCGGGGTGCGCTGGGGCTCGGTCGAGCGTGCGCGCCCAGGGCCGGTTTTCCTCCCGGCGGCAGCGGCGGCAGTGGCGGGACCCGGCACCTCGGCGGCCTCCTGCACCAAAACCAGCCCGAGCGGTTTTGAGACGGCGCCAGGAGAGAAAGAGCACTCGGCTCAGGCGAAGCCTCGGCAGTCGTCCGCAGGCCTCCGCCTCCGTCCCCAGCGCCTCCTCCCGCCCCTCCCTCAAGAAGCCCCCTCCTCGCTGGTCGCACACCTCCTCCTAGCGACTCCAACCCTCTCCCTTCGTGAAGCGCTCGCCCTCCGTCGGTCTCACACACTCGCGCTCAGCACACCCGTCCAGGGAGAGACCAGGTGGGTGGAGGATGTGCGGGGGTTTAGGTGAATGAGGCCAGATGTCAAAATTACCCATTTAAAACCCGCAGAAAGGCTGGTGCCCAAAACTGGGACTGACTTAGCGGGAGGATGCGGGGCAGCTCGAGAACGGCCCGGGGCAGCCTCTGGGGGTCTCGGAGGCCCCCGCCTGTTTTGGGAGCTTGGCACTGGGAACCGCTCTAGGCCGACTCTCGGGCCGCGGTTCCCCGGGCGGGAGGGCGAGGGGCGCAACCACTTGATCTCGGCGTCGCTCTGTGTTGACACAACAGGGGCCGGATGTGGGCAGCTGGCTGCTTCCAGAGAAGGTTCGCAGGTTCCCAAAGCCTCCCTGCCGTGGTCGAGTCCCACCCCAGCGGAAGCCGCGTTCGCCGCGCCGCCACCCCTCAGGCGCCCGGCGCGGGTATTCTCCTTCCCCCGCAGCCCCATTAGTGAGGGGCGACGTCCGCCCCTGCGCCACGTTTAACTACTGATTTGACTGCAACCTCATTCTCCCCCTTCCCTGCCGTTTTTCAGGCCGGGTTGCTCAGACCCTGTCAACAGGCCCTTGCTTCAGCCATGAATGTTAATAGAACGAAAGCAAAAACTCTGCCACACCTTCCCTTGTCTACCGAGGAACTCCCTGTAACCTCAGTTAAGTTCTGATAGTAAGTCGGGTTCTCGCGACATTTGCCGCTCTAACGGAGGCCGCGGGGCGGGGAATTAGAAAGGTTGAGTGTTGGTCACACGACCCGGTGGGCGCTGACGTCACCGGCATCACATGAACGCGTCTAACCCGTTTCGCTTTGTAAAAGGAAAAGGAGAGGTCGAATGCTTTCTGGACCGGGTAGTTACACATGAATGTACTCCGTGAATGGGTCCGTGAAAAACCACTTAACAGTTCAGGAATGCGTCCTACTGCATTTTCATATCTGTTGTTGTTGTTTACAGTAACTACAAGAAAAAATAATTACGCATTACATTTAAAAAATAAATTGTTGGCGATTGCTAAAACAGCCCTTGGGCCGTGTTTTCCAGCCCTGTATCTTTAATATACAGTTGCACATTTAGGGGCAAACCACAAGACAAGAGTTATGAACGATTTTTTTGAGATTAGTGCTTTTTGTTCTCCAGTACAGGCAATGAAAACCTTGCAATTCTATTTCTAATTTGTTAATCATTAACATTACATCATGGACACAATTTTACCGCGGGAAAGGATGCAAAAGAAAATTTGCCCATACAGGAAATCTCAGGCCTATAAAGGTTGTTACTTGTCCTGGGGGCTGATATTAATTGCCTTGCCCATGGTCATTCATAATCTTTAGGTTCTCTAATTTCCTGATTTGGGGGATGCAATTCTACCAATAATTGAGTTTCTTCTGAATTACTCAAAGTGTCCATAATTATTCATGCTAATTATAACAATTGAAGTTAATATGTGTTTGTTTCTGAGTCATAAAAATAATTGTAACAGTGTATAAGATGTGATAAAAAAACTGCATAGAGAAAAAATATGTCTAAATACTAATGTTTAGGCTATAAAGTTGAAAAATTTGTTTAGGCGAAAGATTTTTATATATGTGTTTTAAATGTTTAGCTGTATGCTGTCTGTGAATCTAAAAATGAAAAAGTAAAATTGAAACAGTTATATAAAATTTTACACCTCTGAAGGAATTGTGTTTTAATATTCAAGTAATGAAGTCTCCGTAATTACAGTATTTGTCTCAGTTATTTAAACTACAGATAATTGTAAGTGTGATAATTATGTGGGGCAATAAAAAAAACTGAGTTTTAATACTAATGTATTATTAGACAGTACATGAGTACATTTTTTAAGCACTCTCCGTAGTCTATATTTGCATTGTTCCTTGATCTTTATGTTGGACTAATTAAAATATTGATTTTATTTAAACAAATATTGACGATTATTTCTGGAGTCTGGACCACTTAAAAGGACAATCAAGTCAAAGGTTCTGTCAGTTCTACTTCAGCATAATTTCAGGAATTTTTTCTTGTGTGTCATCTAGTTGGTCTTTCTTATAGTGACCCTGTATGACAGTAGAACTGTCCAGTAGTGTTTCCTGTGCTATACTCTTTAAGGGAGCAGATCACCAGGTCTTTTCTCTTGCAGGGCAGGTATTGGGTTCTAACCACTTAACCATTGCAGCACCAGGGCTCTTTATTTCAGAAATAATGCTACAAAATAGTTAAATTCAAAACGTATAGACTCCTAATAGTAGAATAACAGTGGCTTTTATTCTTTCTTGGGTTTAGTGCCAAAACGCATTTAAATTTCATCGTACGTACTGTCATGGATTGAATTATGTCCCCCAAAAAATGTGTGTGTCGATTTGGCTGGGCCATGATTCCCAGTATTGTGTGGTTGTCCTCCATTTTGTGATTGTAATTTTAGGTTAAAGAGGGTTAGGGTGGGATTGTAACACCCTGACCCAGGTTATATTCCCTCATCCAATGTAAAGGGAGTTTCCCTGGGATGTAGCTTGCACCACCTTTTATCTTGCAAGAGATAAAAGGAGAGGGAAGCAAGCAGAGAGTTGGGGACCTCATACCACCAAGAAAAGCAATGCCGAGAGCAGAGCACGTCCTTTGGACCCAGGGTCCCTGGGCGGAGGAGAAGCTCTTAGTCCAGGTGAACATTGATGAGAAGGCCAGCAGAGAGAGAAAGCCTTCCCCTGGAGCTGATGCCCTGAATTTGGATGTTTAGCCTACTTTACTCTGAGGAAATAAACTTCTCTTTTTTAAAGCCATCCACTTGTGGTATTTCTATTGGAGCAGCACTAGATGACACGTACATTACTGATTCCATGAACATAATGGGAATAGTTGAGTAGGGCAGTAGAGGGAATCCACACCCTTGTGATTATTTTATTGTTTAATTTGGCTGTCATTAATGAGGAACTAGGTTAGTATTTTCATTGATAAGGTCAAGTTTTATTAATATAGTCAGTGGCCCAGTGATTATTATTTTCTGTGCTGAAATATTCTAAAATGAACATGGGATAGTTTTATAAGCTGAATAATAGAAACTTGGTGTCTTTAAAAGGTTGTTGGAAGGCACAGTATTTTAATTATAGTGACTGAAAATATTTTTAATGAAGACAGTTTTATACCATACTTAGGATAATATAGTTATAAGACCAAGCCCCTGGGTGGTGCAGTGGTTAACACAATCAGCTGCAAAGTGAAAGGTTGGACGTTCCAGTTCACCCAGAGGTACTTCCCAAAGAAAGGCCTGATGATCTACTTATGAAAAATCAGCCATTGAAAACCCTGTGGAGTATAGTTCTACTCTGACACACATCGGGTTAGCATGAGTCAGAACTGATTACACAGCAACTGGTTTGGTTTTGGTATTTGTATATAGTGATCATTTGCACTGTATTATTTTGATTTTTTTCACCTCTTATACCCATTGCCATGAAGTTGATGCCAACTCATGGCGAATCTACATTATATAAAATTATTTCGGTAGTATCCTAATCAGAAGTTATACAGAAATGAATTTGGACTATCATCTCTTGCCTGTTTTATTCAATAGCCTTCTGCCCTTGTCCTGTTCATTCTAGTCTCAGCATAACAGCCATAATGATTCTTTCAAAACCTCAGTCAGATCAAATCATGCCTTTGCTCAAAACCTCCTGGGGCTTCCCATCTCAATTGAACTAAACACAAAGCTCTAAAAATGGCCTTGGTGCCTACAAGGCCCTCAGAGATCTATTCCCCACCCTTACTCCCTCTGACCTCATCTTGTGCCCTGGCTCACTGTGTTTGAGCCACACTGGCCTCCTCAAACTGTTCCTGAAACCCACCTGGCATGCTCCTGATTAGGGAGTTTACTGTTCCCTTTTGGAGAATGTTCTTCTCTTAGCTATCCTCCTGTCCCATTCCCTCACCTACCTCCAATCACTTCTCAAATGCCACCTTATCAATAAGGTCATTCCTGGCTACTCTATTAATTATTGCACCTATTTCAGACACAGTTTCCATTCCTGTTATGGTTAAGATTGTATGTCAACCTGGCTAGGCCATGATTCTCAGTGTTTGGGCAGTTGTATAATGTTGTGGTCGCTTCCCTGTTGAAATTTGATATGTGATCACCCCCATAAGGGAATCTGCTAAGTAGTACGGGATGGGGGTGGGGGTCGGGGCCTGTGGCAGCTTACCCCTCAGTCTTCATCTGCCTGCCCTCCACTGGCTACTTCCTTCTTTCTCGCCTTACCAAGGTTATTGGCTTGTTCTGGATCTGGCAGCTGCCTCTTGTCATTTCACCTCCAGTTCTTGGAACTTGAGCTAGCAGCTTACCTGTCGATCTTGGGATTTGTCAGTCTTCACAGCCTGCAAGCAAGAGTCCTGCTCCCCAACCCACTGATCTTAGATTTGCCAGCCCCTACAGCTATGTGAATCAGGACCTTGCGGTCTTGCCTGCCGATCTTGGAATTTGTTGACGTTCACAGCCTGTGAGCAGGAACCCTGCTCTCCGGCCTGCCAATC